AGACAGACAGACAGATACAGAGACACAGACAGACAGATACAGAGACACAGACAGACACAAAGCACTTGAGGCCTTTGTTCGGCACATTTGATACATGTTACTGTTATTCGAATTTGTTGTTAGAAATAAATAAAACATGAATAACGTAAATTGACTGAAGTGGTATTTATTTAAGTCCTACAACATGAATACAACTAATTTGTGTTTAGTATATTTAACATAAGTTATTTTAGTAAAAATGGTACATAATGATCTTCAGTAAATTCAACGTAGTGATGTTTAGTAAATCCAACATAATGATGTTTAATAAATTCAACGTAGTGATATTTAGTAAATTTAACATAACTGTATGATGTAGCACTTAATTAAGACGGTTTGCTGAAATTTAGTCATCTAGTATACTTCCAATTTAAATAAATTGGTTTAGTGGGACCGGTTGACGTTATCTTATTTAAATTTAATGTTCCATTTCTTAGAGTGTGAAGATCATCATCACATGCTATACATTCTAGCTCTTTATTTTCATGACCCAAGTGCACAACTGCAACTGAAAAGCAGCTAGGGTAGTTTGACAGTGTCATATTGTGTCAATAGAGATACCATCAGGAAAGAATGTTTCCATGTAGTGCCTTCTTCTGGAATCTGCTTTCAAAGTTCGAGGCTGCTCTTCACTTTGTTTGGTTACCTTTCTTCACTTGATTTTCTCCCTGACATTTTCAAAAAGACCCAGTTTTCAATAACATAATTATTGGTATTTTTCTCTAATTAACCTGTTAAGTGAATTAAATTGAATTATACTCAAAAATAACTTATGGGGTCCTTGATAACCAATAGAAAACAGTTGAGAAATACCCAAATTAATAAACATAAAATCTTGTAAATATCAGTTGACCTGAGCATGAACAAATATACAATACCAGTCAAAGTTTGAGTACATCTGCTTGAACAAACCACTGGTAGGGACCACTGGGACTTTTAACATGATTTTTTTTATTTTGTATGATTTTAACGTGATAGTCACTTCATGCTAATGTAACCTGATAGTCCCTGATGCCCCCATGACCAGTGACAACAAAACTTCAGAGACCTGTAATACAAAGCAAGTTCAGCATTCACAGGATCTTTAGTTATCAGGCTATACTAACCCTAACATCTGCTGTCTTGCTATGTGGTCACACAAAGATGGTTATCAACTCAGTTTGGGTCGACCCAGGTTTTCCTAGTCCTGCTTGAGCACATTCACATAAATAGTGCAGCATGACCAATCACAAATATGAACAAATCACAACAAAATTGCAGCTGCCAAACACAGGTAATTAATGCAGGTGTAAATTAAAAGGCTTACAATTTCACTGCCCAATCATTAGAGTATATCTGACTATACTTACATTTGTGAATTCTGTTAGCATTATGTGCTGCTTACATGTATTCTTGTGGTTTTTATAGAGTTGATCTCTTATCTCAAACATACCTGTTCAGCCTTAGTTACCATGGCAGTGTACCCTGTTAAGTGATCAACTGTAGCAGAACTGAAGCTTATGGCTCCCTGAACCTTGGTGTCCGACACAGACACACCGAAGAAAGAACAGTGAAGGATTGTGGCCTGCCTATTCCTTTAGATTTCTTATTTTCTTCTCTAACTGATTGCATGTGATGATTATACAATCTTCACATCATAATCATATGCTTAAAGGATGATACTGTGAAATTGTCTTAATACAGTTGTATTTTAGAATGTGGAATATAAGCAATGACAAGGCTTCACAGGGTAGAAGTAACCCTGAGTGGTTCAGTGGTTTTCAACCACTTAAATGTCCTGTCATGTCAAGCTATTACGTTCCTTTCCTCCAGGGTAGTTCCCCTGTTCTCATTTAGTCTCTGGTCCATGAGAGTATGTTAGGATTTCCACTTTGTTCTAGAACCCTCTCTTCCAGCATATTTAAAGGACCAGTGTTTAGGTGTATGTTGTAGAATGTATGACACTCCTAAAGAACTGGTCTAAGGCCTTGGAAAGCTTTCCTTCGGCCCTCACAGTTTCACTTCATGGATGTTAAGGTTAGAAGAGGGAGCTGTAAAAGAGACCTTCACACTTCTGTCTATGTTTCCAACAATTGTTTGTTTCTGATGGTTTATTCTGTGGCTGTAACTAAGCAACTTCTTTTAGAAAGTTCTTCCTCTTGGCTTGAACATCTGCCTCTGTTACAGTAAGGTCTCTGTCTGACAGGTTCTTCAAGTGTTCGTCGGAAAATATGAAGAAATGTCAGATGTTTGCGGTTAGGAGTCAGGTTTGTTTGTGTGATGTAAGGGGTTGGGTTAAGGTGATGGACTACGTTTATCCCTGGCATGTAGCCTGTACTATTCTCATACTAATGAGGAAGTTACCTTATTATCCTCCACTGTCGTATGTACCCTGTATGGTATGCACAACCACATAGACTGTGTTCAACTACTTGTCGGAAAATATGAAGAAATGTCAGATGTTTGCGGTTAGGAGTCAGGTTTGTTTGGGTTTGGTTGGTTGGGTTAAGGTGATGGACAAAGTTTATCCCTGGCATGTAGCCCGTACTATTCTCATATTCACTATTCACTATTCTCAAGTTACCTTATTATCCTCCACTGTCATATGTACCCTGTATGGTATGCACAACCACATAGACTGATCTGTGCTGTGTAGTTAATAAAGAGCTAGAACTTATAGCATGTGATGATGATCTTCACAGCATAATCATGTGAAACGATTGGTTTTATTATAGAATGTCTAGAATATAAGCAATGGCAAATCATTACTTCTGCCTGACGAGGACAGTGACGGAAATAAAAATTGTCGAAAATAAATCCCCATTTTTACTGTGGCAGATTTTTTTGTTTAATTATTTATTTTGACATTTGCTATAAGATAAGATACTTTATTGATCCCACACTGGGATGATGCTTGTTACAGCAGCTCCTGATAGAACAGAGCAGATAGAAATAGTTTTGATAATGATTTGATAACACCTTTATACATTTTAATAATTAGTCTCATTGACACAAAGTAGCTGTTGAATAAAAAGTGTGGATACTCCAGAGCGAGCGGGAAAAACACTGGTGACACTGATTTCAAACCTACAAACAATAAATAACAATATTAATATGTACAAGTGCATAATATTGTACATGATCAAACATTTAGTCATTCGCATACAGTATCTCACTTTTGTGAAATTACATAAAAAAGATTTACAAAAAAGAAAATCTTGTTGCTACACTGTAATCCAAACTTAAAGACATGTAGAGACATCAAAAGTTGGATTTTGATTTGATTAATAATAGTCTTTGTTGTCTTTGAAAGTGATTAATTAATTAATTCATTTATTAAATGTAAAAAAAATAATGACAAAGGACTCTTTTGTGGTTTGACCTAAAGTTCAAAAACCAGAAGATATTCAATTACAAATGTATGAAACAGAAAAAGCAGCAAATCCTGACATTGACAAACATAATACTGTTTGGTGCTTTTACTGGATAAAGGGTTAACGGAGTTTTTTTTGTTATTGTTTTTTATCACAAATACAGTCACAGTTTCTATGATTTATTTGCATTAAACATGGCTACCTGTACAAACAGTTAATTTTCTACATTTTAAACTACACAAGCTGTTCTGTATTAGAGAAGCAGATATGTAGAACAGATCTGAAGGCAGTTTCCATCAGAAATCAGGCTTCATAAAACCCACGTTGATCTTTCTGCGACACTTGGCGCGTTCTTTCTCGCAGGTCTCTGTCACAGAGTGCTCTCTCGCTGCAGAATAGAAAACCTTTTTACCCACCATGGTGTTACCGGTGGCACTTTTCCCAATCATCACAATCCTCAGTGGAGGACCTGCAAACATAAATATATTCTGTAATATAAAAGTCTCAATCTCAAAACCTTGACATAATTAGTACAAGTGTTGACTGCAATATGCTGAAAAGATTCCAACTTCACCTTCAGGAATTG